CCTTTGACAGCTGTTCTCGGCTCATACGTTATGTCAAATGAGCTTAACTCTATGGCCCACTTTGTCATTCTGCCCGAGAGTTCTGGCTTGTGCATAAGCACTCTGATTGGAAAAGTTGTTAGAACAGCTATAGGGTGGGATTCGAAATAATGCCTCAACTTTCTTTTTGCGTTTACGAGTGAAAGTATTACCCGTTCGGCCTTCGAGTACCTTCGTTCTGCCTCGGTCATTGTCTTACTGACATAAAATACTGGGTGTTGCACCCCTTCCTTGCAACGAATTAGAACGGCACTTGTCGCAACACTAGATACTCCAAGATATAGATATAATTTTTCTTCTGGATCCAGGGCTGACAGGACTGGTGGATTCTGCATATATTCCTTCAAATAAGTCAATGCTTGTCATTGTTCATCCCTCCAGACCTGTCTTCCATGACTCTGGATCGTGTCAAAGAACGGCTTGCAGCGGTCTGACAACTTAGAAATGAATCGACTTAATGCAGCTATTCGTCCTGTGAGGGCTTGCACCTCTCTGATCGTCTTTGGCTCGACATTCTTAATCAAAGCCTCTGCTTGAGCGGGGCTAACTTCGATGCCTCTGCGGTTGACCACGTGTCCCAAAAACTGACCGGAACTCACACCGAACGAGCACTTGGTTGGATTGAGCCTCATCCCATATCGCCTCAGCACATCAAATACATCTTGCAGATGTTTCAGATGATCATCCTTCTTCCTACTCTTTACCACTATATCATCAATATAGGCTTCCACAATCTTTCCTATTTGATCCTTGAAAATTTTGCTAACAAGTCTTTGATAAGTTGCTCCCGCGTTCTTCAATCCGAAAGGCATAACTTTATAGCAGTATGTCCCTCGCTCGGTTACAAAAGAAGTTTTTTTTTCATCTGCCGGGTCCATAGGGATCTGATTATAACCTGAATAAGCGTCCAGAAAGGTTAAACGCTCATAACTTTTCACGATTTTTTTTTTATTTTCTTTTTTCAACATGGTTGAATAGAAAATATGATTTTAGGTGGGGTTTCTTTTCCGTGTTTTTCTAGAAAATGTCGTCTTGATATCGAAAATCGCTTACGAAGTTCAGTTCTTAGTTTTCAAAATAGCAGCTTTTTGGACCTCCATGACCAGATTTCATGGAGGGGCATTTCGGGCATTCTACATTGCGTTTTTTTTTAATTCTCTCGCGAGTCATGTAGAAAACTCAATTTTGAGGGGGGTTTCTTCTTGTGTTTTTGCAAAAAAATTCATTTAGGCCTCCAAATTCAGCTTCTGTTCTGTGTTTTTTTTTTTTTTAAAAAAACACATAGCAGCTTTTGGGCTGCTGGCAGCCGTTTGTGCGCCTAGCGCGCGCGTGGCGTGCATGGGTGTGCGCATGGGCGAGCATGGGGGGCTGTCATGGCCCCCTCGTCGGGCCGCCGCGACGTCAATTCTTCTTTTGGGCTTTTCTCCTTCGTCCGAACTCCGATTCAAGTGAATTTTTTTTTTAACTTGACTAATTTTTCGCTGTCTTTCCAACAGTGTGCTCTGTTGCACCTGGTTCTTCTTGGATAATTACCAGTTTACCCTTTTTGCCTTAAGTGCTCGTTTTTCTTCGTCATGCCGTTTCTCCTTCGTCCGGACTCCGAATCATGCGATTCTTGAGTCCATCGTGATTAGTTTTTCGTTGTCCTTCCAGCGGTGTACTCGGTGGCATCCAAATCTATAATTTTTAGAAATGACTATTTTGCCCCTGGGGGCTTATTTGTCATATTTTCGATCTTTTGCTTCCGCATCAGTTCTTGTTGAGTTCCACGACCTCATGGAAGGTCATTTTGACTTCTTAGAGTCTTGTTTTCTGTTTTCGCTTTCGCATTCAGATCCGTTATCGGATCATCCTTACGGTTTATCACAGGACACGCTGGCCTAAAAACCAAGGTCGTCACAGTGCATGCATATGTATCATCTATACATTTATTATAAAATCTATAATATATATAACATATATTATATTATAATAAATAAAAAAATATTAAATAATATAACTATATTATAATATAATATAGATATGGTATATACTAATATATTATATCTGTTGCATAATAATTTAATTATATTATATAAAACAAATAATAAATATATAATAATTCATAATTTTTTTGCCCCAAAAAATAATTTTCACTATTATATAATATATTATATTTTTGTTAAATGAAAAATAATTTACACTAATATATAATATAAATATAATTATATATTAAAAATATATTTTTATTAGTATTTAATATGTAGCATTAATATATAACATGAATGATATACATTTTATTTGAAATGAACAGTGTATATGCAATAATAATAGTGAAAATGTTTTTGCTCAACAGTGTCGAAAACATGAGAAATACCTTTTTTATATTTCCTCATTTTTCACAAAAATAGAAAACGTTTTCTATTACATAAAAACAAAAACATATTATTAAACATATTTTTTGCTTTTGTTTTGTCTTTTTAGGGGTTGACAACAGAAAACAAAAACCGTTTCCGGTTACTAAATACATCCTAAGGTAACGTAGTGTCTCTGATTTTTCCTATTTTTAATTTTTGGAGATTTTTTGACTTTTTGGAATTTTTCTTTTTGTACTTCGTTTTGTGTGCTGGGTGAGTCCTGAGAGTTAGTTTGGGCATTTCTTTGAGTTCGGGACTCTTAGAAATGCATCGTTGGCCATTTCGGCATTTTTTAGTTTTTTGGGCTGGAAGGTTTCAGGCGGGTAACCGGTATTGTTGTGCATGAGAATTATTTTTCGGGACCGTTACTCTTCATACATTATTATTTGAAGCATATTTATGTGACTATGTGTTTTGACACGTGTTGTGGTGTGTTTGGTGTACGTACATGTGAATATATTTATATAATGGATATAATGAGATATTTTTTTATTGACTGGGTCCCACATGATATACACATATATCATACGCAGAAATCTTCACCTATCTCGCAGCTCTGTCTCTCTTCCTCTTATTTTCTTTTCTTTTAAGCTTTGATTTTCTCTTTCATTTTTCAGCCAGTTGGTCGGGTTTTCAATCTTGATTTCTTAATGGAAAATGTTCCTCTCGTCATTCTCTATCACATAGTCAAATGATTTTATTTTTGGAGGAGCGGTGATTATTTTACGAATTTTTGAAATTTTTAGGTCTAAGACTTCGGAGGGGATTTTGGGCCACTTCGAGTCGGATTCCGGAGCTACGCCTTTGGAGCATTATACTTTCCTCATCGTCGGCTACGTTTCCATTGAACAGTTTTGTAATGTTTCCAATTTTTACCATTTTCCATTTTCTAAAATTTTCTGTTTTTGCAAATGCATTTTTGTCTTTTCCCGTTTTGCTTGCCAGACACCGTAGGGTGTGTCGGGTGTGTCCGAGAGTTGGTTGGGATATTTCCTTGAGTTTAGGACTCTGAAAAATGCACCAGTTGCCATTTCATCATTTTTCCCTTTTTCGGGCTGAAATGTGGGACCCGCTGCCGAAATTGTTGTATGCGAGGATTTTAGTTGGGTCCATTTACATCTTATAAATTTTATTTTATGTGTTTTATATGGTATTTAAATGGTTGTGTGCTATATTATATGGTTTATGTGCATATATGTATAATGGTGGCAAAATAATTAAAAAGAAAAAGAAAAGGTGGGATTTTAATTTTTATAGTGGGACCCACTTCCCACTTCCCACTTCCCACTAATTCTTTTGTGGTCTAGAGACCACATTTTGGGCTTCTCATTCTCTCTCGCCAGCTGAATCTCTTTCTCCCTCATTTTCCTTTCATTTTTCTTTTCCTTTTCATTTTAAGCTTCAAATCTTGATTAATCTTCAACCGTTGGGAGTTTTTGGGTGCCGTTTGCAGCAAAACGGAGAGCACATCAAGATCTACATATTGATGTAAGCAATTCATCATTTGGCCAACCATAGGATTTTTGAAATCTAGGGCTTGGAATTGGGGGTTTTGTATCTTAAGAGGTAGGAATTTCTAATTAATATTTTCTTGGGCCTTTTGTGAAATAATCTTCTTAAATTGTGGTTAGCATGCTTGATTTGTAGAAATTTCATGCTATATTGTATATATGTTGTGCCAAAATTGTGACTATGTGTTGATTGGTATATATGATGATGAAACATGCCTAAATGATGATTAATTTGTGCTCTTTGTACCTTTGGTGCTAAATTTCATGACTTGAAAGTTTGAATTGTAGCATAGAAATTTTGTAAATCATGTGACTATGTGTTAGTTAAAATTATATAAAAAAACTTGCTTAATTGATGATATTTCTTGCCTATGGTGTGGAAAATGTTAAATGTTGTGATATGGAAGCATGATATTTATTTTCTTTGAAATTCTCTACAAGGCATGTTATATTGTTAATGTTTGATTTGTGAAGCATGAAATTCTCTATGGGCATGACATTGAAAGACATGATGCATGTCATGCATGACATTGGGAAATGAAAAGGGAAAATTAATTTGAAAAAAAAAAAATAATAATTTTTGGGAAAAGTTTTGAAAGGAGGTTTTACGGAAAAACCCGATCCAATAGGAGTTGTTTATGGGTCCGTGGCGTTAATGTGACCTAGCGGGAATTAAGGAGACTGCCCTAGTGTGGTTGAGTTAACTAGCCCTAAATAATGCCCTGGAGTTGCCTTGTGGTCAGGAACAGTTAGCTAATCATTCTCTCGTACCGCCATGAAGCTACCATGGGACAGGTGGCATTAACGGTTTGAAAATGATAACAGAAAAAAGTTTTGGAAATGGTGAGTGACATTGCATTCCATTGCACGGCATGGCTCGTTATGACTTGGATTGTTTGTTGTTGATATTATGGTTATATTTTCTCCCTGGAGTTGTATGATCCCATTCTCTTTTGCTCTATTCATTGTTTGGATTCACGGGGTCACAAGAGGTGTGTCTTAAGCACCACCTACTGAGTAATTTTGCTCACCTCTTATTATTAACATTTTTCAGATCACGGGAAGGAGGTGGTGGATGACATTCCTCCACAAGCATGAGGAGGAAACTTAAAGTGTGTTTTATAACCATTTTATAGACTTGGGCCATTTTTTTTTGTATAGTAACATTTTAACATATATTAAGAGTGTTTAGCATGGCCTTGTAAATCCAACTATGAGCCTTTGGCTCTATTTTGATGTAAATTTGGACAAAATGTTAGACTGTGTAATATATCTTATTTGAATGTGAAAAATGATGTTGTATTATACTAAATTGTTGATGTAATAACCATGACATGTAGAATATTATTGCATTGTGCGTTGGGACATGATGGATTAGTTTTGAAGCCAAGTGAAACCATTATTTTTTATATGTTTTTCAGCAGGTTGTAATAGGACTTTTTCTGTAGAGGTCATACTGAAATTTTTATTTTTATTTCTATTTGTTATATGTTTCCATGCTAGGAAATTATGACTTGATCACCTATTATAGGCTTAAGTTATGATGTTGGTGTCGTACATTTTGTATACTTAGAACTGGTTAGTATGCAACTTTGTATATGATTTTGTGATAAGTGTACACGCTTGAGAAGGGTACGGTTTTATGGGGTGAGTTGTTTGGTGTGATCTTAAGTGTTGTGTCTCAGTTTCGAGTTATGTGAATGTCTAAATCCTTGAGTTAGGGTCGCATGATTGTGTTATATTTGACTCTTTTCTTGCCATTTTTAGAGTCATGCCTCCGAAGAGACGTAGAGAAGCAGATGATGGTGGGAAGTAGGACGAGCTCTTTGATTGGGACTTTTTGGTTAAGAATTTGGTTAAGGCCATGACAAACTTTGTACGTATAGTAGTCATAGAGACTCAGAGGTCGATGGTACAGTCAGAGAGAATGGAGGTTACAGGCAGACAGGGAAATAGGGGCTCATAAAGTCAGGCTAAGGAAGTGGAGATGTTGTTCGGGAGTCATGTACAAAAGATGCTAAAGGGTGATTCATCTCATTCTCCCGTTGTTTTTACGTCATCGCTGGAGACGTCCCCTAAGGTCAAGAGGGTTTGTTATAGGTGCAATCAGATAGGTCATTTGAAAGCAGAGTGCCCTTGGAGTCGGCCTAGTTCTAGAGTTTATTTTATAAGTGGTCAGTCTGATCATAGGAAGAAGGATTATCCCAAGAGAGGTGGAACTCCAGTTGGTGGGATAGGTATAGGGCAAGGACCGACTCGACCTTCAGTATCATAGATTGGTGTTTAGGTTGGAGACTCACAGGAATGGGAGACTCAGGGTCGTATAGTCAGTTTGGTTGTTTCTCCTATTGAGTTACCAGAGGGACCCCCTGTAGTCAAAGGTATGTAATTGCATTTATTTCTAGCATTTTATTGGTGATTTCTTTTGGTAAGTGTTTGGTCTAATGGGTAATGGGGATAGTGATGGTAATGGCTATAATGCCGGAACAGGAATGTAACAACCCGGTCATTTGCCTCCCTTTCATTTTTCTTGAAATTTTACGAATGAATTTTTTTCGTTTAATTTTCTTTTCTGAGCTCTGTTTCGTGTCGCTTAGTGTCATCTCGAGTGCTCGGAGTTAGTTTCTGAGACTCTTTCATGTGAATTGACAACTTCCTTTGAGGACCGAGTCATTTTCGCATTTTCACTTTTCGGACACTATGCGCTTTTCGTCCTTTTCCCTGTTTCGTCTTTTTCCCTATTCTGTCTTTTTCCCGCTTGTCACATTGTTGGCACAACCTCACTTCTCATGCTCGGAGTTGGTTTTTGACTTCACGTGCCTTCATCTTGAGTGGTTTCCTTGAAATACGTATCTTTACTTTTGCAAGAAAGTACTCTGATTGCTCTAGTGTCCACAGGGGCATAGATGCACAATTCTTCAGAATCTTTTTCATTTCTAGGGGTGTTTTTCATAAATATCTTTTGAAGATATTTTATTTCAGGGGCATCTAAGAAAATATCTTTTGGAAGATATTTTCATTCTGGGGCAGTTTCGCAGTTAACCCTTTTTGTAGGGGTCATTGTGCAATTAACAAAAGTTATTGTAAAATGTCTCGTCTGGAGCCTGGATCCTCGTACAGGATTCATTTTCACATTTCGTCGAGTCATGGACTCTTAGAATTCCGTTCTGGTCGTTTTTCTCCAGTTTCAGAGTTTTTGGACCCGGTTGCCGCCGAACTTGTTTGGGACATAACTTTCTGCTCGGGACTCAATTTTCGACGCTGTTTCTTCCTTCATTCTTATTTTATCATTTTAAATCTTTTTCATTCATGGAGTTTTGCCGTTTGAGCGCGTCTGCTCAAAATCCACTTTTCCAGACCCGGCGAGGCCCTTTCGGGGCAGTTTTTAAGACTTACTATAAATAGGATGCCCTAAAGTGAAAAATCAGATTTTCACTCTTCTTCTCCATCTCTTGGCCGGCAGCCATGGAAGCTCCTTGGCTGCCACCCTTTGACCTTCTCCTCCACTTGATTTCCTAAGTGAAATCTCTTCGGCCTTTACGTTTATCGCTTCCCTCGACGTGCTCTACCATTCCCCCTTATTAGAAATCATTTCCTACCATTTCTTGAGTTTGGGTTAAGAGTCAAGTTTGGATTTTCATGGGGCTTCTTGGAGATTCATATAGATCGTGTTGTCCCCGTCAAAACCCTTCGATTTCGGCGGATTCAGAACACTTTTCTTCTGGTGGGGATTTGGGATTTTCATCCTAAATTGAGGTAGGAGGTGTTATAGGTTTAATTCTTGTTATATAACATGCTATTGATACTTATACAACTTGATTGCATGCTTAATATGAAATCTAGAGATTTTATTATTTAATTTTCTTGTATTGGATTTGATTTTCCTGGTTGCTTATGACTTATTTTAAACATGAAGCATGGTAATATAATGCTCATCTCCTACGAGTAGCTTTATGTTACTCACCCCTACGATACTGGGGCATATTTCAGGTATGAAGACTTGGTTCGTGAAGCCTAGCATTCCTTGGATGTCGAGTAGCTTTCAAGTTTCCATTTCATGCAAATGTTAGCATGAAATGTCATTTTGTAGACTTATATGTCAAAATATGTATATTTGATTCCATGTATGTAATATGTACTTAAGTACACTCCTTTCAATGTATTTGATATGTATGAGATGAGGCTGGAGGCCAATGACATGTGTATTGTATTCTATATAACTTTTTAACTTTATGAAATATTATGAAAACCTTGAAAAATCGCAAGTCATTGCTTCACCATGGTTGCATTGGGTGTGGGAATTCTATTCTCATTCTTTCATAGGGTCTTATAAATCATGTTTGAAGTGTGGCCAAGGGCCAAACGGTCATTTGATCCCATTTTGTATTTTTGGATTTCGAGTTTTCATTCCAAGTTTCATTTTTGCCTTTTTGCCCGTTGGGGGGTCGAATTTTGTATCGGTGGTATTTTTAAGTCGTGGACCATTGTAACACTTTCAAATCGGTAAGTTACGTTTGCGTGCATGGTCATTTTTGGGCAAAACCTTATCGTTTGTGTTTTGAGCCTCTTGTGAATTCATTTCGCACTTTTTTTGCATATTCTAATCTAGGGGCATTATAGACTTTTCACAGTGATTTTATTTTCTTCTTTCAACATGGTTGAATAGAAAACATGATTTTAGGGGGGGTTTCTTTTCCGTGTTTTTCCAGAAAATGTCGTCTTGATATCAGAAATCGCTTACGAAGTTCAGCTCTCAGTTTTTCAATTTAGCAGCTTTTTGGACCTCCATGACCAGATTTCATGGAGGGGCATTTCGGGTATTCTACATTGCGTTTTTTTTTAATTCTCTTGCGTATCACGTAGAAAACTCAATTTTGAGGGGGTTTCTTCTTTGTGTTTTTGCAAAAAAAATTCATCTAGGCCTCCAAATTCAGCCTTTGTTCTGGATTTTTCTGGAAAAAAAAAATCACACAGCAGCCTTATGGGCTGCTGCCAACCATGGTGCACTCAGCGTGTGCGCGGCGTGCATGGGCACGTGCATGGGCGTGTGCATGGGGCTGTCATGGCCCCTCGTCGGGCCGCCGCGACGTCAATTCTTCTTTTGGGCTTTTCTCCTTCGTCCGGACTCCGATTCAAGTGAATTTTTTTTTTGAACTTGACTAATTTTTCGCTGTCTTTCCAACGTTGTGCTCGGTTGCACCCGGTTCTTTCTAGATAATTACCAGTTTACCCTTTTTGCCTTAAGTGCTCGTTTTTCTTCGTCATGCCGTTTCTCCTTCGTCCGGACTCCGAATCATGCGATTCTTGAGTCCATCTTGATTAGTTTTTCGTTGTCCTTCCAGCGGTGTGGTCGGTGGCACCCGAATCTACAGTTTTCAGAAATGACTATTTTGCCCCTGGGGGCTTATTTGTCATATTTTTGATCTTTTCCTTCCGCATCAGTTCTTGTTGAGTTCCACGACCTCATGAAAGGCCACTTTGACTTCTTAAAGTTTTGTTTTCTGTTTTCGCTTCCACATTCGGATCCATTATCGGATCATCCTTACGGTTCATCACAGGACACGCTGGCCTAAAAACCAGGGTCGTCACAAGGAATGAGGAGAAATAATGATGTTAAACTTAGGATATGAAGTTTTCTTGTTTAGGCATATAGATCGCCTTAGAAAGAGTGGTTTAAGTAGTTGGTTAAGTATTAATGATTGATTGGTTGGTGGTTTTGAGGAGAATGTTGGGTGTTGAGCATTATGAGATTGTGCCTATTTTATTTTGAGAATTTGTCGGCATGGCATTACCGTATGGAGGTTCTTTCCTAGTGGTAAATAGTGGTTATTATGGGGGGAGTATCGAGAGGAATGGTTATTTCTTGTTTTGATGGTGTTACCTTAAGGATGTTTGAAGAAGAATCGCTTAGTTGTGCCTTGATGGTTTGGTGGGGTGATAGGTTTCAACCGTTGTTTAGAATGAGTGGTAATAGAGGCGTGATGGTGTGATGTTTAGAATTGATGAGCATAATGGTTTCAGGTATGATCTGAGAATAGATTAAAATTATGAGTGTTGTTATATGTTGTCAGGTAGGTGATGGGATTGTACGCCAGTTGAGGCGATTGTGGACGGCTTAGTTTTTAGAACTAGCGAGAACAGTGTTGCCGGATAGACACCTTTTTCTTTTAAGGAGTCAGTGGACTGTTGTGACTGAGGTCACGGGTCTTATGTACACGATGTTCTAGGTAATGTCGTTTTGAAAGGTGAAGGTGGAATGGGTGGTAAAATGTCATTTTATGATTTTG